AAGAAATCCTTATAAAATTACAGCGTACACACACTTGTGCACCAGCCAGAGACGACTACCACTCCAACCTAAACTAGTGGTCAAAAATCGGGCACCGGCGGGACAAGCGCGCTTGCAGTTGAGGGTGGTACGGAATCTGCTGCGTGGCGGTTGTTGAAGGCGATGGCTAACCCGTTGGCCGGTTGAAAGCTGAACCTGCAAGCCAAATAGAGTGTGTAAGAGCACGTATGGGGCATTAGAACAAGGCCACACTGAGAACAAGTGACACTGATACAAATATACATTGTACGCCAAAGTGCAGACGGTGGAAAATCAAATTGCCAAAAAAAAAAAACCAACAAACCCACCAGCAAGTTAACCAACAAATGACTTCGAGCCTACCACAGCGTCGGGCATTAACGTCGCATTTGTCGCGCAAACGCTCTGATCCGGAGGTGGCGGAATACAGGCAGCTGCCGGAGGGAGTGGGGATGGCCTTCGTAACGCTGGTTGCGTGGCTCGATGCAAATCCTGCGATGGAAACAAAGAAAAACGGTTGTGATCACGGTTGAAGTTGTAAAAAAGTACGATGTATCACATCAATACTACGCTAATATGAGATTGAACTGCGCTGGAAGAAACGAAGATGGCGGGCAACAACACAATAGCAGTAGTGACATCGGCTACTAAAACTTACCGTAGTTACTACCCGTTTCCCGCATCAGATCTGTACGTGCTTGCGAAGTTGAAAATACACCAAGTGCTGAGCAGGCACTTGGAGCATGTGAAGGCGGAGACAAGCACGGACTAGGCGAATAGGAAAAAACTGGAAAGAATGGATCAGACACAACAAAATGACGGGGTTCCCACAACCCCTGTGACCCTGCTCGGAAGTGGATCGACTACGGAAATCTGAGGGCGTGTCCGAAATCTGACTCTGACACTCCCGAGACATCCAATTTGTCTTGTCGGGAACTTTTAACCCTTGGATCAAAAATACCAACCGTCGCGATCCTCCGGCATTCGTAAATTGATGTCGGCAACCCACTTCGAAGACCCCCTGAATCGCTCTTGTTCAAATCCGAAAATTTGCCTCCCCACCGTCCAAACCCCTACGCGTGGCTACATCTGGGTTAGGCGGCTGCTAACCCAAGGATGTCTCAGAAGAACTAGGCAAGAATGAATGAACTAGCAGAAGTTTGGGTACAAATATGAAACCCTAGTTGGGGTTGTACCCCATATTGGCTACCCCACTACAGCCTACAAGCATAATACAGTTTAACACACCCCCATAGGCAAAGTGGGGGAGAACAAAGGGTCACAAGACCAGTCCAGCAAAGCAAAGCAAAGCCCAGGGTGGATCACAACGTCACCACACTCCGAGCACAAGTAAAGGCCACAAGGCCAGTTCACATGCAGTGCTAGATATAGTACAAGACAAGCAACACAGTGATCAAAACCTAGCAAGCAAGCAACAAGATATATATAAAGTACAGTACAAAGAATGTCAAGCAGTGAGCAAGTGAGGAAATGTGGACACAAGGCCTAAAGAAGTACAGTGCCGCTGATGATCACTAGGCGGAAGCGCCTTGGTGAAGATATCAGCAGTGTTGGCCTTCGAGTCCACATACACAAGCCGAAGCTGACCGCGCTGCTGAAGCTCTCGAGCAAGAAAGTAGCGAAGAGCAATGTGCTTCGTCCTGTGCTCCAGTCTGTGCTCCTGACACAAGGCAAGAGCCGCCTTGTTGTCACCGTACAGAACTGGAGGAGAACTAGGCCGCTCTCCCAAGTCAGTCAGCAGGTAGGTGAGCCAGCGTAACTCCTGTGCAGCCATGGCTGTGGCGTAGATCTCAGCCTCACAACTAGAGCCGAGAACAGAGGAAGAGCGGGTGGACCGCCACGAGACAGAACCAGAGCCAAGGCTGAAGGTGTAACCCTGTGACGACCGCTGCGTAGCCAGGTCGTCCACCCAAGAAGCGTCCGAGTGACCAGTGAGGACAACTCTGTCGCGTCCTCCAAGCACCAGCCCCATGCCTGATGTACTGCACAAGTAACGCAGCACCCTCTTAGCAGCCTCCCAGTGCTCTCGCCTGTGTCTCCCAGGCGCAACGTAACGAGCAAGGATGCTAAGAGGGTACGCGAGGTCAGGTCGCGTGCAGGTCATCAGGTACATGAGGCAGCCTACAAGCTCTGGGTACGGGCCACTCGGCTCTACGGACTCGTCCGAAGGTGGAGCTGAGAGCGAGTGGCTGGTAGCCAGAGGTGTGGCCTGTGGTGAGGAGAACTGGAAGCCGAAGCGCTGAAGGACCTGCTGCACCATGTGTGACTGAGTCAGGGTGATGGTGCGGCGAGCTCTGTCCCGGGTGATCTGCAAGCCAAGGTAGCTACGCAGTTCACCCAGGTCAGTGCAGGTGTGTCTCTTCTGCAGCTCCGACTTCACACGAGCGAGTGCCTCAGTGTCAACAGTAGCAAAGACCAAGTCGTCGACGTACACGAGAATGTAGAACGGCGGCAGCGACGTGTCTGTGCGCAGAAACAGCGACGGGTCAGCAGTAGACGGCGCGAACCCAAGAGCCGCAAGTGTAGTCCTCAGTGTGTCGTGCCACTCACGTGGCGCCTGGCGGAGACCGTAGACTGGCCGGCGGAGACTCCACTGGGTACCAGGGGGAAACGACCCAGTGAAGCCAGGTGGGCGGCGCAGCCAGATCTCCTCATGCAGGCTGCCCTGCAGGAACGCTGTGCTGAAGTCAAGAGAGTGAAGCTCGTAGTCACGCTGAGCAGCAACATGCAGCAGAACCCGAAGAGTGGTCATCTTCGGGGTGGGGGAGAAGGTCTGGAAGAAGTCGACCCCCTGACGCTGACTGAAGCCTCTAGCAACGTAACGAGCCTTGAAGACAGGCGGAGAACCTGGCGGCCGCTTCACCCTGAAAATCCACATGCCATCGACGATGTTCGCCCCAGGAGGGGGAACCTCGTCGACGTAGGTGCCTGTGGACTTCCAGGATGCCATCTCTGCGTCCATGGCTGTCTGCCACTGAGAGGAGTAGGGACCCGAGATCGCCTCTGCGTAAGTGCGCGGAGTGGGGATGTCTAGTGCATCCGGGTCTCCCTCAGGGGCAAGCAACCAGGCCACGAGATGAGGTACAGCAGCCGCAAGAGAGTCAAAGTCCTCCTGCCTGTCCTCAAGGACGTCCGTGCCAAGAGCACACTCACCCCCGACGGACGGAGGACAGACAGACGCAGACTCTGACGCAGCAACAAGGCTAGCAGCGTAGTCTAGATGACAGGCAGCAGCAAAGTCAACCAACTCAGCGACCAGAGCAGACGCAGCCGAGGACTCAAAGGTAGGGTCAGTGACAACAGTAGCTAGGAGACGCGTGACTGTAGGGTGCTCAGCGCGATACCGGTCAGACTCAGGGTCCGGAACGGCAGGCAAAGAGGACTCAGGAGGAGACGGTAGAGGGACACGCCGAGGAGCAGTAGAGGGACGCAGAGTCATGTAGTGAGTGCCTGGGACAGGAGGAGGACGCTCACGACGGACACGACTACCAGTGCGAGCAGGACGAACAGGCGACGCAGGACGAGACTCAGGCTCACGACGCTCTGTAAGACCTCCTGTGGGACCAGCGTAAGGAGAGGGAGCAGGGAGAGGCGAGGCAGGCGGTAGCTGTGACTGCGGCTGGACAGGCGGAGGACACTCCACGGAGGGAGGAGGACAAGGAGGAGGAGCCTGCCCAAGAACCTGCTGAAGGAGCGGTACGAAGTACGGTCGCGGCCGCGCAGCGTCTCCAGAAGCAGAAGAGACTCCAGCGGCCTCGTCCTCAGGACCAGCAGGAGCTCCAACGTCCGGGTCCCCAGTACCAGCAGCAGCGCCACCGCTCGGGTCCTCAGCTCCAGCAGCAGCTCCACCAGGCGGGTCCGCAGCACTAGCAGCAGCGCCACCCCCAGAGTCGGCAGCTCCAACTCCGCTAGCACCGCCAGCGCCAGGGTCCCCAGCTCCAGCAGCTCCAGTCGCAGTGCTCCCAGAACAACCAGTCCCGGCAGCTCCAGTACCCCCAGTACGAGCACCCCCAGGACGAGCAGCCCCAGCACCCCCAACTCCAGCCGAGCCACTAGGACGGCGAAAGCGCCGGACGTACCAGTCACGAAGCTGCTGCGGTGTGAGAGACTGCTCAGCACCCCGAACCGGAGCACCCCCAGACGCAGTAACCCGAGGCTCCGTAGGCTCAGTAGCAACACCCCCAGGCTCAGTACCCGCAGGCTCAGTACCCGCAGGCTCAGCACCCCCAGTCGCAGCACCCCCAGGCTCAGCACCCCCAGGCGGCAAACTCTCAGGCACAGTACCCTCAGCTCCAGCACCCGCAGTCCCAGCACTCCCAGGCCCCGCACCCGCAGGCTCAGCACCCCCAGGCTCAGCACCCCCAGGCTCCGTACTCTCAGGCACCGTACCCTCAGCTCCAGCACCCTCAGTCCCAGCACCCGCAGCCCCAGCACCCCCAGGCCCAGCACCCCCAGGCTCAGCACCCCCAGGCTCAGCACTCCCAGCAGCACCACCCGCAGCAGCACCTGAGTCACCTGTGACCTCGACAGGCTCAGCGACGGGAGGAGGGTCTACCTGAGAGACACCTGAAGGAGCAGGACCCTGAGGGGGAAGGGGGTCTACCGGAGGGGGACCAGGAGCAAGGAAAAGCGGCGGGGGAGGGAGGGGGGCAGTGCGGTAGGGGAAGAGACGGTAAAAAGGGACCGACACAAGGTGGCGACGGTGCATGCCACGAAGGCGTGGCAAGGAGGGGTGACCCAGGCGGTGGTGCCAGAGAAGAGTCTGGTGCGACAGGGAACGACACTCACAGGCGTGGGCTACCAGACCTGACGCAGACACCTGACCGACAGCAGCGACCTGAGGAGACGCAGTGGTCAGTGTGTAGAGACTCGACCCCGGCCGACGGGTAAACGTAGCCAGGTGACGGCCGGTCCTGGAGCACGTGCAGATCGCCACACGCTGTCCTCCAGGGGTAAAGGTGTCAACCCACTGGTCCTGGAGGACAGCGTTGCTCACCAGGTTCGTCGAGAACGAGGGGAGGTGGAAACCCGACAACGAGCCAGACGGAACCGCCGGACAAGGGAGGACAGTGGTGGACTGGGCAAGGACTGGGCCCCCAGAGGGGTCAGCCAAGGAGACTGGGACCGGTGCAGGAAGCGGTGTGAGCTCAGTACTGTCACGAAAGAAGCAACGGGAAGCACCTGAGTCAAGGGTGAAGGTGTGACAGGCCTCAGCCGGTGGGGTACCTGAGAGAGCAGTCTCTGTGGGTGCTGTACCTGAGAGAGCAGACTCGAAACCAGCCGGGACAGCACTGGAGGGAGCAAGTACAGGGGGCACCATACCAGAGAGAGCAGACTCACTAGTACCCAGGGCAGCGGGCTCTATACCTGGGTCAGGCGGCACACACAAGTAACAGTCTCCCTCGGCACTAACAGTCAATGCATACATGGCAGCAATAATAGCATCATAGTCAAGAGCAAAGACATCGACACCAGCCCTCATGAGCTCAGCCCAGCGGGGGCGCTCAACATCCGCACCCATCTCCTCACGCCAAGCGTCGTCAAGGCGGGAGAAGCAGCGGTACGGGGTGTGGAACCTCCCACACGTCTGTCCCTTGCGGTCACCTGTGCGAATGACATAAGAACAGCGGCCACTGCCCCCCGACGTCCCACGCTGAGCAAGCCACTCACGAAGCTGCTGGGTCGTCTGGGGACGCTGCTGCTGCTGGGAGCTCTGGCCCGAGCCAGTGCCTCCACTCCGACCTCCGCCGCCACCACTACCACCGCTCCGACCGCCACCGCCGCCACCGCCACCACCGCCACCGCCGCCACCGCCGCCGCCGCCACCGCCGCCGCCGCCACTACTGCCACTGCTTCCTCCGCCGCCCCCGCCTCCACCACCGACCCCACTCCCACCAGCGCTCCCGCCACCGCTCCCTCCAGCACCGCCTCCCCCCCCACCTCCCCCACCTCCTCCCCCCCCAGCGCCACCACCACCACCCTTGCCCCCCTTGCCCTTGCCGGTGCGGCGCCTCCCACCAGGAGCAGAAGCAGCGCCAACAGACTCAGCACCAAGGAAGTCAACAGCAGCAGCAGCAGTGTAGGAGGGAGCGAGGGGAGAGGGAGAACACCCCTCAAAGATGGGGGTGCGAGGAGCGCCACGAGCAGCACCGACAGCTACAATGCTCTTTTCGGCCGCGAGCAGCTGCTCCTCTAGGAGGGCGACTGTGAGCTCAGTGGGACAGCGAGCAAGGAAGTGGTCTCGAACTGAGCGGAGGGTGTCAGGGAGACGGGTGACTATGAAGTGGAGTGTCCAGTACAGTGGAGGGGGGTTCTTAGCGCAGAACTCGGTGGGAAGGGCGGCACGCAGGCGAGCATCACTAGTGCGAAGGTGGGTGATAAGATCGGCGACTGTAGTAAAGGTGGACAGATCGGGGAACAGGTACGGCAGCATGAGGCGGCTAAGCTCGGCTGTGGCAGGCGAGGAGTAGCGAGCAACGACAGCATCGTACAGGGCCTTAGCGGATTTGCAGTCGCCAAAATGCTCGAGCTCAGCTAGCGGCAGGTGACTGCGAATGGCTAGGCGAGCAGCTGCGTCACGAGTCTGCCAGTGGGAACGAACACTAAGCTCGGCTGTGGCAGCAGGAGCAGCGGCAGCACCAGACGCGTAGTCATAGAGGGAGATGTGGTCCGTGCTATTGCTCATAAGATACAACTGCAGGTCGTCGAGCCAGGAAGTGAACTGCACGGGACGGCCCTCAGCATCGAAGGAAAGAACGCGAATAGAGGCCATAGCTCAGGCGTGAGGGCACAGCAGAGCAGCGGCAGCAGCAGAGGGGACGCGCTAGAGCGAAGATAGCAGCCACAGCAGGAGCAAGCGGCGGTGCACAGGCAGGTAGCAGCAGGCGAGAAGCGCGGCGGGCGACGCAGCAAGCGGGCAGTGAGGCGGGCGGGCCGCGAAGCGGGCAGCGAGCGGGCGGGCGGGCTGCGAAGCGGGCGGGCCGCGAAGCGGGCAGCGAGCGAGCGGGCTGCGAAGCGGGCGGGCCGCGAAGCGGGCAGCGAGCGGGCGGGCGGGCTGCGAAGCGGGCAGCGGGGCGAGCGGGCTGCGAAGCGGGCGGGCCGCGAAGCGGGCAGCGAGCGGGCGGGCGGGCTGCGAAGCGGGCGGGCCGCGAAGCGGGCAGCGAGCGGGCGGGCGGGCTGCGAAGCGGGCGGGCCGCGAAGCGGGCAGCGAGCGGGCGGGCGGGCTGCGAAGCGGGCGGGCCGCGAAGCGGGCAGCGAGCGGGCGGGCGGGCTGCGAAGCGGGCGGGCCGCGAAGCGGGCAGCGAGCGAGCGGGCTGCGAAGCGGGCAGCGGGGCGAGCGGGCTGCGAAGCGGGCGGGCCGCGAAGCGAGCAGCGAGCGGGCGGGCGGGCTGCGAAGCGGGCAGCGGGACGAGCGGGCTGCGAGCGGGCGGCTCGGCGGGCGGGCGACACTGCGAGGGGCGCGCGAGGGCGCTAGTGAGGGGCGCGCGAGGGCGCTAGTGAGGGGCGCGCGAGGGCGCTAACGAGGGGCGCGCGAGGGCGCTAACGAGGGTGCGCGCGAGGGCGCTAACGAGGGGGGCACGCGAGGGCGCTAACGAGGGCGCACGAGGGCGCTACGAGGCTAGGGCACGGGGTAGCGTGGTAACCGCATGCGAGCGGTGGTGGGCCCTTAAAAAAAAAACGGTCGGTAGGTCCTAGGGACCTCCTGCTCTGAATACCATCTCAGAAGAACTAGGCAAGAATGAATGAACTAGCAGAAGTTTGGGTACAAATATGAAACCCTAGTTGGGGTTGTACCCCATATTGGCTACCCCACTACAGCCTACAAGCATAATACAGTTTAACAGGATGTACCCAATCAGCACTCCTGGTGAGTAAAATCGATGACATCTGGATCGCCACCTGTCATTTTAACCAAACAGTCATTCTGGTAGGCGCAGATTTCACTATTGGCAGCACCTACTGAATGCTGTAAAAGTGAATGGGTATAAAATTCGGTATTGTTCTATTTCATACTTCAACATTGTTAAATGTATAGTTCCAAGAAAACAATTCCCAAATTTATTCAGTATTTACCACGAACAAAAATATCCATATTACAAAGCACAACAATGCCAAATCAATTTCGCTGAACTATTATAAAGAGAATCAACACCTAAAAATATCTCCACACCCGCCCAGCAACGCTTTCAATTTCATAACCACAAAAACCCGCAAAATTAAAATGTCCTGCGTCTCAGAAGAACTAGGCAAGAATGAATGAACTAGCAGAAGTTTGGGTACAAATATGTAACCCTAGTTGGGGTTGTACCCCATATTGGCTACCCCACTACAGCCTACAAGCATAATACAGTTTAACACACCCCCATAGGCAAAGTGGGGGAGAACAAAGGGTCACAAGACCAGTCCAGCAAAGCAAAGCAAAGCCCAGGGTGGATCACAACGTCACCACACTCCGAGCACAAGTAAAGGCCACAAGGCCAGTTCACATGCAGTGCTAGATATAGTACAAGACAAGCAACACAGTGATCAAAACCTAGCAAGCAAGCAACAAGATATATATAAAGTACAGTACAAAGAATGTCAAGCAGTGAGCAAGTGAGGAAATGTGGACACAAGGCCTAAAGAAGTACAGTGCCGCTGATGATCACTAGGCGGGAGCGCCTTGGTGAAGATATCAGCAGTGTTGGCCTTCGAGTCCACGTACACAAGCCGAAGCTGACCGTGCTGCTGAAGCTCTCGAGCAAGAAAGTAGCGAAGAGCAATGTGCTTCGTCCTGTGCTCCAGTCTGTGCTCCTGACACAAGGCAAGAGCCGCCTTGTTGTCACCGTACAGAACTGGAGGAGAACTAGGCCGCTCTCCCAAGTCAGTCAGCAGGTAGGTGAGCCAGCGTAACTCCTGTGCAGCCATGGCTGTGGCGTAGATCTCAGCCTCACAACTAGAGCCGAGAACAGAGGAAGAGCGGGTGGACCGCCACGAGACAGAACCAGAGCCAAGGCTGAAGGTGTAACCCTGTGACGACCGCTGCGTAGCCAGGTCGTCCACCCAAGAAGCGTCCGAGTGACCAGTGAGGACAACTCTGTCGCGTCCTCCAAGCACCAGCCCCATGCCTGATGTACTGCACAAGTAACGCAGCACCCTCTTAGCAGCCTCCCAGTGCTCTTGCCGGTGTCTCCCAGGCGCAACGTAACGAGCAAGGATGCTAAGAGGGTACGCGAGGTCAGGTCGCGTGCAGGTCATCAGGTACATGAGGCAGCCTACAAGCTCTGGGTACGGGCCACTCGGCTCTACGGACTCGTCCGAAGGTGGAGCTGAGAGCGAGTGGCTGGTAGCCAGAGGTGTGGCCTGTGGTGAGGAGAACTGGAAGCCGAAGCGCTGAAGGACCTGCTGCACCATGTGTGACTGAGTCAGGGTGATGGTGCGGCGAGCTCTGTCCCGGGTGATCTGCAAGCCAAGGTAGCTACGCAGTTCACCCAGGTCAGTGCAGGTGTGTCTCTTCTGCAGCTCCGACTTCACACGAGCGAGTGCCTCAGTGTCAACAGTAGCAAAGACCAAGTCGTCGACGTACACGAGAATGTAGAACGGCGGCAGCGACGTGTCTGTGCGCAGAAACAGCGACGGGTCAGCAGTAGACGGCGCGAACCCAAGAGCCGCAAGTGTAGTCCTCAGTGTGTCGTGCCACTCACGTGGCGCCTGGCGGAGACCGTAGACTGGCCGGCGGAGACTCCACTGGGTACCAGGGGGAAACGACCCAGTAAAGCCAGGTGGGCGGCGCAGCCAGATCTCCTCATGCAGGCTGCCCTGCAGGAACGCTGTGCTGAAGTCAAGAGAGTGAAGCTCGTAGTCACGCTGAGCAGCAACATGCAGCAGAACCCAAAGAGTGGTCATCTTCGGGGTGGGGGAGAAGGTCTGGAAGAAGTCGACCCCCTGACGCTGACTGAAGCCTCTAGCAACGTAACGAGCCTTGAAGACAGGCGGAGAACCTGGCGGCCGCTTCACCCTGAAAATCCACATGCCATCGACGATGTTCGCCCCAGGAGGGGGAACCTCGTCGACGTAGGTGCCTGTGGACTTCCAGGATGCCATCTCTGCGTCCATGGCTGTCTGCCACTGAGAGGAGTAGGGACCCGAGATCGCCTCTGCGTAAGTGCGCGGAGTGGGGATGTCTAGTGCATCCGGGTCTCCCTCAGGGGCAAGCAACCAGGCCACGAGATGAGGTACAGCAGCCGCAAGAGAGTCAAAGTCCTCCTGCCTGTCCTCAAGGACGTCCGTGCCAAGAGCACACTCACCCCCGACGGACGGAGGACAGACAGACGCAGACTCTGACGCAGCAACAAGGCTAGCAGCGTAGTCTAGACGACAGGCAGCAGCAAAGTCAACCAACTCAGCGACCAGAGCAGACGCAGCCGAGGACTCAAAGGTAGGGTCAGTGACAACAGTAGCTAGGAGACGCGTGACTGTAGGGTGCTCAGCGCGATACCGGTCAGACTCAGGGTCCGGAACGGCAGGCAAAGAGGACTCAGGAGGAGACGGTAGAGGGACACGCCGAGGAGCAGTAGAGGGACGCAGAGTCATGTAGTGAGTGCCTGGGACAGGAGGAGGACGCTCACAACGGACACGACTACCAGTGCGAGCAGGACGAACAGGCGACGCAGGACGAGACTCAGGCTCACGACGCTCTGTAAGACCTCCTCTGGGACCAGTGTAAGGAGAGGGAGCAGGGAGAGGCGAGGCAGGCGGTAACTGTGACTGCGGCTGGACAGGCGGAGGACACTCTACGGAGGGAGGAGGACAAGGAGGAGGAGCCTGCCCAAGAACCTGCTGAAGGAGCGGTACGAAGTACGGTCGCGGCCGCGCAGCGTCTCCAGAAGCAGAAGAGACTCCAGCGGCCGGGTCCTCAGGACCAGCAGGAGCTCCAACGTCCGGGTCCCCAGTACCAGCAGCAGCGCCACCGCTCGGGTCCTCAGCTCCAGCAGCAGCTCCACCAGGCGGGTCCGCAGCACTAGCAGCAGCGCCACCCCCAGAGTCGGCAGCTCCAACTCCGCTAGCACCGCCAGCGCCAGAGTCCCCAGCTCCAGCAGCTCCAGTCGCAGTGCTCCCAGAACAACCAGTCCCGGCAGCTCCAGTACCCCCAGTACGAGCACCCCCAGGACGAGCAGCCCCAGCACCCCCAACTCCAGCCGAGCCACTAGGACGGCGAAAGCGCCGGACGTACCAGTCACGAAGCTGCTGCGGTGTGAGAGACTGCTCAGCACCCCGAACCGGAGCACCCCCAGACGCAGTAACCCGAGGCTCCGTAGGCTCAGTAGCAACACCCCCAGCTCAGTACCCGCAGGCTCAGTACCCGCAGGCTCAGCACCCCCAGTCGCAGCACCCCCAGGCTCAGCACCCCCAGGCGGCAAACTCTCAGGCACAGTACCCTCAGCTCCAGCACCCGCAGTCCCAGCACTCCCAGGCCCCGCACCCGCAGGCTCAGCACCCGCAGGCTCAGCACCCCCAGGCTCCGTACTCTCAGGCACCGTACCCTCAGCTCCAGCACCCTCAGTCCCAGCACCCGCAGCCCCAGCACCCCCAGGCCCAGCACCCCCAGGCTCAGCACCCCCAGGCTCAGCACTCCCAGCAGCACCACCCGCAGCAGCACCTGAGTCACCTGTGACCTCGACAGGCTCAGCGACGGGAGGAGGGTCTACCTGAGAGACACCTGAAGGAGCAGGACCCTGAGGGGGAAGGGGGTCTACCGGAGGGGGACCAGGAGCAAGGAAAAGCGGCGGGGGAGGGAGGGGGGCAGTGCGGTAGGGGAAGAGACGGTAAAAAGGGACCGACACAAGGTGGCGACGGTGCATGCCACGAAGGCGTGGCAAGGAGGGGTGACCCAGGCGGTGGTGCCAGAGAAGAGTCTGGTGCGACAGGGAACGACACTCACAGGCGTGGGCTACCAGACCTGACGCAGACACCTGACCGACAGCAGCGACCTGAGGAGACGCAGTGGTCAGTGTGTAGAGACTCGACCCCGGCCGACGGGTAAACGTAGCCAGGTGACGGCCGGTCCTGGAGCACGTGCAGATCGCCACACGCTGTCCTCCAGGGGTAAAGGTGTCAACCCACTGGTCCTGGAGGACAGCGTTGCTCACCAGGTTCGTCGAGAACGAGGGGAGGTGGAAACCCGACAACGAGCCAGACGGAACCGCCGGACAAGGGAGGACAGTGGTGGACTGGGCAAGGACTGGGCCCCCAGAGGGGTCAGCCAAGGAGACTGGGACCGGTGCAGGAAGCGGTGTGAGCTCAGTACTGTCACGAAAGAAGCAACGGGAAGCACCTGAGTCAAGGGTGAAGGTGTGACAGGCCTCAGCCGGTGGGGTACCTGAGAGAGCAGTCTCTGTGGGTGCTGTACCTGAGAGAGCAGACTCGAAACCAGCCGGGACAGCACTGGAGGGAGCAAGTACAGGGGGCACCATACCAGAGAGAGCAGACTCACTAGTACCCAGGGCAGCGGGCTCTATACCTGGGTCAGGCGGCACACACAAGTAACAGTCTCCCTCGGCACTAACAGTCAATGCATACATGGCAGCAATAATAGCATCATAGTCAAGAGCAAAGACATCGACACCAGCCCTCATGAGCTCAGCCCAGCGGGGGCGCTCAACATCCGCACCCATCTCCTCACGCCAAGCGTCGTCAAGGCGGGAGAAGCAGCGGTACGGGGTGTGGAACCTCCCACACGTCTGTCCCTTGCGGTCACCTGTGCGAATGACATAAGAACAGCGGCCACTGCCCCCCGACGTCCCACGCTGAGCAAGCCACTCACGAAGCTGCTGGGTCGTCTGGGGACGCTGCTGCTGCTGGGAGCTCTGGCCCGAGCCAGTGCCTCCACTCCGACCTCCGCCGCCACCACTACCACCGCTCCGACCGCCACCGCCGCCACCGCCACCACCGCCACCGCCGCCACCGCCGCCGCCGCCACCGCCGCCGCCGCCACTACTGCCACTGCTTCCTCCGCCGCCCCCGCCTCCACCACCGACCCCACTCCCACCAGCGCTCCCGCCACCGCTCCCTCCAGCACCGCCTCCCCCCCCACCTCCCCCACCTCCTCCCCCCCCAGCGCCACCACCACCACCCTTGCCCCCCTTGCCCTTGCCGGTGCGGCGCCTCCCACCAGGAGCAGAAGCAGCGCCAACAGACTCAGCACCAAGGAAGTCAACAGCAGCAGCAGCAGTGTAGGAGGGAGCGAGGGGAGAGGGAGAACACCCCTCAAAGATGGGGGTGCGAGGAGCGCCACGAGCAGCACCGACAGCTACAATGCTCTTTTCGGCCGCGAGCAGCTGCTCCTCTAGGAGGGCGACTGTGAGCTCAGTGGGACAGCGAGCAAGGAAGTGGTCTCGAACTGAGCGGAGGGTGTCAGGGAGACGGGTGACTATGAAGTGGAGTGTCCAGTACAGTGGAGGGGGGTTCTTAGCGCAGAACTCGGTGGGAAGGGCGGCACGCAGGCGAGCATCACTAGTGCGAAGGTGGGTGATAAGATCGGCGACTGTAGTAAAGGTGGACAGATCGGGGAACAGGTACGGCAGCATGAGGCGGCTAAGCTCGGCTGTGGCAGGCGAGGAGTAGCGAGCAACGACAGCATCGTACAGGGCCTTAGCGGATTTGCAGTCGCCAAAATGCTCGAGCTCAGCTAGCGGCAGGTGACTGCGAATGGCTAGGCGAGCAGCTGCGTCACGAGTCTGCCAGTGGGAACGAACACTAAGCTCGGCTGTGGCAGCAGGAGCAGCGGCAGCACCAGACGCGTAGTCATAGAGGGAGATGTGGTCCGTGCTATTGCTCATAAGATACAACTGCAGGTCGTCGAGCCAGGAAGTGAACTGCACGGGACGGCCCTCAGCATCGAAGGAAAGAACGCGAATAGAGGCCATAGCTCAGGCGTGAGGGCACAGCAGAGCAGCGGCAGCAGCAGAGGGGACGCGCTAGAGCGAAGATAGCAGCCACAGCAGGAGCAAGCGGCGGTGCACAGGCAGGTAGCAGCAGGCGAGAAGCGCGGCGGGCGACGCAGCAAGCGGGCAGTGAGGCGGGCGGGCCGCGAAGCGGGCAGCGAGCGGGCGGGCGGGCTGCGAAGCGGGCGGGCCGCGAAGCGGGCAGCGAGCGAGCGGGCTGCGAAGCGGGCGGGCCGCGAAGCGGGCAGCGAGCGGGCGGGCGGGCTGCGAAGCGGGCAGCGGGGCGAGCGGGCTGCGAAGCGGGCGGGCCGCGAAGCGGGCAGCGAGCGGGCGGGCGGGCTGCGAAGCGGGCGGGCCGCGAAGCGGGCAGCGAGCGGGCGGGCGGGCTGCGAAGCGGGCGGGCCGCGAAGCGGGCAGCGAGCGGGCGGGCGGGCTGCGAAGCGGGCGGGCCGCGAAGCGGGCAGCGAGCGGGCGGGCGGGCTGCGAAGCGGGCGGGCCGCGAAGCGGGCAGCGAGCGAGCGGGCTGCGAAGCGGGCAGCGGGGCGAGCGGGCTGCGAAGCGGGCGGGCCGCGAAGCGAGCAGCGAGCGGGCGGGCGGGCTGCGAAGCGGGCAGCGGGACGAGCGGGCTGCGAGCGGGCGGCTCGGCGGGCGGGCGACACTGCGAGGGGCGCGCGAGGGCGCTAGTGAGGGGCGCGCGAGGGCGCTAGTGAGGGGCGCGCGAGGGCGCTAACGAGGGGCGCGCGAGGGCGCTAACGAGGGTGCGCGCGAGGGCGCTAACGAGGGGCGCGCGAGGGCGCTAACGAGGGCGCACGAGGGCGCTACGAGGCTAGGGCACGGGGTAGCGTGGTAACCGCATGCGAGCGGTGGTGGGCCCTTAAAAAAAACGGTCGGTAGGTCCTAGGGACCTCCTGCTCTGAATACCATCTCAGAAGAACTAGGCAAGAATGAATGAACTAGCAGAAGTTTGGGTACAAATATGTAACCCTAGTTGGGGTTGTACCCCATATTGGCTACCCCACTACAGCCTACAAGCATAATACAGTTTAACACTGCGGAGTTACAATTAAAGATAAATTAAACGCACTACAAATAACATCACTTGTTGTTACAAGTAGTTGGTAACTGTATTGTCCGAGGTACAAATCGATGCCACCAAACCTACCAGCCGAGCCTGCGTAGTTGACAGCAAACACCCAGAAACACGCGCACCACTTCACACCTCAAGCAACACCCAAGCAACACTCCCACGAATCATGCGAGCAACTTTCTCGCATGATTCCCAACCCCTGGAAAACGAGGAAGATACGAACAAGATTCAAGCATCTCGCAATCCCCTCCCCCCTGTTTTGCGATGCATCCATGGCTGCTGGCCTCCCACTCAACCTCCACAACGACTTCTCCCGATGCGCCTCTCTTCCCACGTCGCGTCGCCACTTCCGACTGCTCTTCGTGTCTCCCACTCCTCTGGTTTGGGCGCGATATCACCATCCTTCCTCCTATATTTCAACGTTCAGGATCTCTTCTTTTTCATCCCTCCAACTGCTTCCATGGCCTCCCCCCTTCACTCTATGGACCACGCTATGGCTGACGACGCCCTCGCTGCCGATGGTGAGGAGTTCCTCCTTGACGAGACTACGGAAGAAATCCACCTTTCGGAGCTCGAGACCTCCAACCTCCCCGCTGCTAAGAAGGCATGCATTAATATGAGCAATGATACCTCTTCGGGCTCCTCTGCTGCTGGCTCGGCCTCGCCCTCCGGCCATTCCGAGCTGCAGCGTGCTCCTACCCTGGTTCCCACTCTCCCGAGTGGATCTTCGGCTGCCTTGGGGAACTCTGCTCCCCTGCCCCGCGTTGCACCTACTGCTACGGTTGCAGCTCCTCCCGAGCAGCAGATTTTCCTCTGGCTGGCTCTGCTGCTGGGCCGATCCTGCTGGCAACCCCGGGCTTGCAGGCCCCCCCTCGCGCCCTTCGCCGCCCCCGTCTGGCGCAGGCTGGCCCCGCCCTGTTGCCTCGCCGCCGTCGCGTGGTTGTCACTCTGCTCCTCCCGGAGGCCGGGGCTGATGCGAATCGGGCGGACATCTTGCTCCGCCTTGGCGCGATGCTGAAAGGTCACATGTTCTCGAGCGGTACGATTCCCTCCTATGATGCCACCTCCGGGGAGGTTCTCCGGGTGCCCCGTCGCTCCTACGCGCGGTTGCTCTTCTCCTGGCCTTCTGCTGATGACGCTGTCTCTTTTCGTAACCTCTTTCCGCTCACGCTCAAGCTGGCGAATTCTCGTTCGGTCCTGCTCAAAGTTTACGAAGACCCCAACGCTGGTTTCACTGCTGCCAAGGCTGCTGGCGCCACCACCCTCTCCATCCGCGTTCCCACCGGTTATGAGCCGGAGGATATCAAGTCCTATATCCTCGCGGCTACCACGGATGACGGTCTGCCGTGGCTGAATGATCTCCAGCACCTCCACCGGGTGGAGGACCCGTATGAAGGGGTGGTGTATACTATTCTCGATGGTATCCCGATCCCCTCCGCCGATGACCCTAACTTCCAGCGCATTCCGGCTGCCATCCTCCTGGAAGAGGGTGGCCCCCCTATGCTACTGAATTTCTCGTCGCATGTGTGCCGCTTCTGCGCCAACAATCACCGTGATGCGGACCACGCTTCCTTCGCGGCACGCCGCAGGCAGCGCATCAACAATAGGCACGTGATTTCCGTCGCGCAGCTCCAGCAGACCAACGGTGCGCAGCTCGCCTCCCTGTGTACTCCGGCTATCCTCTCCGCTGGTTTCCTCGTTTCTCTTTGGTCTAACTCCCCACTAGTCAACCCCGCCCTGACCCTGATTATCTGTTCAGACATGCTTTATCAGACTGATTCCATGCCGACTGTTCTACTTTCCTGCTCTTGTGCTCCCACAACCCCCCTTCCTTCCCTATCCCCCTTTTTGTACCCCCCCGCCCTGCCCATCCTCCTCTCACCCGGTGCTCCTCGGTCTCTCACAACGTTCCTGTTACGATATACCCATGGACTTCCCTCAACATGCCTGTCCTTGCCTGGCTCAGGTACCATTCGCCCCCTCCATGCTCCTGGTCGCACCTATGTATTTCTGCCCATACTCTGGCCCTATGTGTCCGTTACACTCTCTTTTCCTCTTTCCCCTCCCCCACTCCTCCGACTTCCCGCTCTCCCTGTCCCACGTTATGCCCGTTTGACCCTGGTTTGGTGTTCTTGCCTTACCTTTTTTCCTTTGATATGCTGCCTGCCCTTTTCCACCTGCACTCAGCACGCTATGGCACCTTGGTTCCTGCCATCTGCTCACCCTTCTCCGTTGCCTCTCTTATGTTTGGCTTCCTCACCTCCCCTTTGGCCGCCCCTTCCCTTCCAGCCTGTCAGTGCTCACTTTTACGTCTCCTCACAACCTGATTTGTTGTTATCCTTTCCTACGACTAGGCCAGATTCTTGGATCCCACGCCGCCCCTACGGCAGTCCGCAACGACCCTGGGCTTCTGCTCATCGGACTGGACTCGGAGGTGGAGACTTGGACCTGCGTGCTGTGCGAATTTCAGTGTGGCCATGCACTCGACAGTGCGATGGCACACATCGCCTCCCCCACCCATTCGGCTCGCCTGCGGGCCACCGCTCACCTCCCGGCTGCCAAGGACAAGTACAGCACCTGGCGCGCCATGACGCTGCTCGAGACACCGCGTATCGCCGAGTTCCTGCGTGCCTAGCATTTCAGGCTGCGACGTTTATGCTCCCCCTTCTTAATCGATGTGGTTGCCTATGCTTTCTGCTGTCTTTCTCGTCGTTTTCACTTGTCCCACCCATATATAATAATGCGAATCAGGGGCACTGGCTTGCCCCTCGCACTCATCCCTTCTCTTCTCGCGCATCAACTCACTACCCCTGTGGATCCGTGTTCTTTCGAATGCGGGGGGTCCCTACATCTATTAAATAAGAACCTACATCCGTTTGCTAACACTCAATGTTAATGGTATCAACCACGCATACAAAATGAACTGCTTAAAATAATGGATTTCTTCCCACTTTGTTAAAGTTGATATCCTTGTTCTTTTTGACACACGTTTGACTTCAAATATCCCTAAACTCACACTCACTTTTCGTCCCAAGGAAGCCGCTCATGCACCCTCCTTCACTACTTCAACACACCCAGCACCTGGTGGTATCTCTGTCCTAATCTTTAACAAGGCTATCACCATCTCCTCACATGCACCTTCTCTCGACGGTAGACTCCTCTCGGTCCACCTGAACTATCTACATGAGCAAATGCGCCTAATCGCAATCTACGCCCCTACAGCTACTATCGCTCGTCGAATGTGGTGGCGGTCCACTCTCTCCGCTGCCCTAGAAGTCCCATCGTCGGCCGCCTTTACTATCCTCGCAGGCGATTTCAACTCGGTTGACTGTGCCCTTGATCGCAATCGTCTGCTGCATGGGCATGAGCGCAGTGAAGCAACCTTGTTTTCCAACCTCATGACACAGCACTCCCTCGCCGACTCATTTCGTCTTCTTCACCCCAATGTAACGCTCTTCTCTTTTTTTAGTCGCCAACGATCCAGTGCCTCCCCTTCAGCACCCCCTCCAGCAGCCCGCCTGGATCGTATCTATCTCTCCCGCACTGCACAACACCGTCTCTCTGCCACCCCTTATATTCTCACTCCCTCTGGTGTCTCGGATCATGCTCTGGCCCCACTTTGTTCCCTCCTGTTTGATAATCCAATGATCGCTCCAAGGCCTTGGCGCCTTAGTACGTCCCTCCTACACCGACCCGCTCTCCCTCGCATCCTTGATGATCACCTTAGTCTCCTCCCCCCCTCTCCCTCCCCTATCGACTGGGATCTGTGGAAATTCAGCCTCTGCCTCGCCCTCAAACGATTCTCTTCCCACGAGCGACAACGCGTCTCTAAAACTATGGACCACCTACGCCAACTGGTCTGCGCCTTGCAGCTCCAAGTAGCTACTCAATCATATGTTCCCTCGGTTACAAGCTCTCTCCTACGCGCCAAACAACAACTTGCTTCATATGAGGCTTCGAAAACGGCAGAAGTGGCCCTCAAAGCGAAACTCAAAGTTGAAGGTCATAGGGAAATGGGGCTCTCATCCCTGCTAGTCGGTCTTGGCTCACGCTCCAAAGCCTCTCTCATTTCGTCCATCTCTATGCCAAACGGGCAAGCCACCACGGATCTACCCACGATGACCATGATCTGTACCAATTTTTTTAAATCCCTCTATAGTGGACGAACCTGTATTTCGAGGGATGCTTCCTTTTGGCAACACATTCCCCGTACACATCTAACCTCCTCTCTTCTCGCCCACCTTGCTGCTCCCATCTCTCTGCACGAGGTTGGGAAAGCCATCTCTCAGCTTGCACGAGGGAAAACCCCAGGCCCTGATGGCCTCCCGGGTGAACTGTACAAACACTACAAGCCCAGATTTGCCCCCGCCTTCCTCGCTCTACTCAACCCAACGGCTCCGTTCACCTCCCTCCCCCCTTCCATGCTTCGAGGCCGCACAGTACTCATTCCAAAAAAAGGAGACTCCTCCCGGCCAGATAACCTTCGGCCAATCACCCTCATGAACGCTGACTATAAAATCCTCGCGTTGTGTCTAGCTAACAGGCTCCAAAAAGCCCTTCCGCGTATGATTCACCCTTCGCAAACGGCGTTCATTCAGCACCGGAAAATCGGGGATACCATCAATGATACACTTGACATTATGGACGGGGCCTTGTTCACCAATGCACCCCTCCTAGTACTCACTGTCGACCTTCGTAAGGCCTATGATTCTGTGGATCGTCAATTCCTTCTGCAATGCCTTGCACACTTGGGTGTTCCCGAAACTTTTTATCCATTGGGTCCGCCTTATGCACTCCGGCACATCCACCTGCATCTCAGTTAATAACAACGAGGGCCCTGTCTTCCCAGTTAACACGGGCGTTCGGCAAGGCTGTCCACTAGCACCACTCCTGTTTATCTGTATGATCGAAATCTTTCATCGTTACACTTCTCTCTACCTCCCTGGTTTTGCCCTTTCTCCCACGCAACGTCGTCTGATGGCCTGCTACGCTGACGATATCACCTTATTCCTTAATTCTAAGGCCGAACTCGCCATTTCTCTTGGCCTTCTTGCCCAGTTCGCCACTGTGTCGGGTGAATACCCCAACTGGGAAAAATGCTCAATCATACCTTTCAACGTCCCATCTTCTCACATCACTGCCTCCGGTCAAATCCCGATTCGCCTCCCACATGAAGCTGAACGAATACTGGGGATCTTCGTGGAACTTGGCTCCCCTGGGCTCACTACCTGGACCACAACCCTCGCTCGTGTACAACGCATTACCAAATTTCTCGCCACTCTTCACGCCACTGCCACGTGCCGGAAATACCTCTGCTCGACATACCTTAATTCTGTTATTTCTTTCCCTACTCGCTTTCAATCAGCTCCTACCGAGATTTGCAAAAGTCTTGATCGGACAGTAAGTACCTTCCTTGGGACGTCAAAGTTCAAAGAACAAGGACGTACTCAGCAACTGATTCCCAAAAGAATATTGTTCAACCGGGTTAAGCATGGTGGCTTAGGGGCAACGGCCCCCTCCACCCAAATTCGGGCTCTTTCGATTCAACGTGCCCTTCGCCGTTTTGGTGTTTCCCCCGCTGAATCGGTCGCTCGCACATGTATTCCCCTGCCTTACGGGCATCACGCTTTCCTTGCACACGAGGCCATTCTTCGTCCGGGCATTCTGCCCGCCTCCACCTCCTCGCGAATCCGTGACGAACTTTCTGCCTTCCTCTCTCTCAAGCCTACTATTCATCCTTCCCGACTTGACCCACGCTGTATTCTCAATGAACCTATTGCTTTCAACCGGTCTATCCTCAAACCCAACAATACCCTTTTCGGTACCCTTAAGGGGGAGCTTTTTCTTCTCTCTCTTGAAATAAGAGTAAGGCACATATTTCGTTCTACCTCCTCGGCTGCTCGTCCCATTTCTGACAAGGAATTTATCGAGCATTGTCCCCCCTCTGAGTACCCTGCTGGTCGTAGAATTCTTCACGATATCATTGAAGCCATTCCCCGTGAGTAGAAACTTCTACTCTCCAACCCGCCTTCTCCCCAGGTGGCGGTCGGGGATTGGTTTATCCCAGCTAACGCCCCTTTTACATTACCCTCCCTGGCGTTTGAAGCTGTTTCGTTCTCTCCACCCCGTCTGCTCACCGCACGTATCTTCCAAGTACCTAACGATTCCCTCATTCAAAAAGAAATGATTTGCATTTCCACATTTGATATTGCGCATGTAATGTGTGCTCATGTACAGGGTCGTCGGCTGTTTGGGCCTCTTCATGAGGGTGCAGGGCTCGGGGCGCGGCTGGAGATTCTCTCGGGGGGCACCCCCACACTCACATCCATCCGACACCTTCTCTATCAGCGGCAACCACTAGACCATGATACTCGGTGGACAGCAGCTCTCACTGGTCCTCCTCCTCCAGTTTTTCCTGACCTCTCTCACACCTTCCTTCGTGATCAGCCGAGTCTTCAACGGGACGTACTCTTCCGCTTTTACATCCGCTCCCTCCCGAGAGGATCCCGCTTCAACTTTGCAGCTGATCGGGGTATCTGCCTCTCCTGTCGAACTGACTCTTTGGAGACGCTCTCGCACCTCTTCTTTGAGTGCCCGGTAGCTGTCCCAGCGACTCAAGCTTTGCGCTCAGTTGCTCGTCGACACCTCGGAATTCACCTCTCTACAGAGCAAGTTTATTTTCCCCTTTCTTCAAGGGTTGGTCAAACTGTCCCTTGGAGTCTCCTCGTTGGCGCTGCGGCAAAGATTATCTGGAATACTCGGTGTGATAGGAGGTATCGCGATGTGACATCCTCATCGTTTGAAATCCTCCAGCTCATACTCGCTCAGTTCCTACTCGCCTTCAAAATATTCCTTTGGCGTTGTTCCAGACAATCTGCCAAAAAGAAGCGTCGGGCAGCGGCTTGCATCTCCCGGGCCTCAAAACTTCGCTTCATTGACATGTCGTTCGATGGCACGCCGCGCATTCATCCTGACTTACGAGCTTCATGGCTGCTCAATGATCCTTATCGACCTCCTTAATTGTTTTCGAGCCATATGAACAGAGCAAACCTCTTCCTAGAGGCTGTCTTACGGGACAGTTGAATAGCGTAGGTTTTTACGCACCTTCGCACATGGGGTTGGTTTGTTAGCCATTTTCAATTTGCTCTGTTCATCTCTGTGTGTCTCAACGGATGAACATCCGGCGCTCCCGTTTTGCCCGTGGGAACGACGGATCCGTCGCTCCTCCAGCGCCGGGTCGGCGGAACTCAAACCCCGCCAGCTGGGCCTTGTCGGGACCCGCTGCACGCGAACCCACTTCCCCGCCCCACCTGAGCGCCGCACCCATCGTGCATGTCTTCCCCTCGGAGACGCGGATACCAACCTGCCTCCGCGAAAGCAAATCTTCAGGAGACACAGCTCGCGAAAACTAATGCGAACACAAAAAGGCAGGCGAAAACAACAGGCCCTGGCAAAAACAACACATGCGATCCATACGAAGGAGCGCAACCCACCTGCGCGAAACAGAACCCTCTGCGCGCCACAACAGACTGCCCTCGCCGAGTTCGCAATCGTCGCCCTTCGCAAGGCGTGAGCAAGGTGTGGTTTAGGCGTGACCAAGGCGTGAAAGAGAACGGCTCATGCAGGATGTGACACGGCCATCTCCTCTTGTCAGAATGTTGTATTTGTCTAGCCTGCAGTGGGGTACTCTATAGCGAGTACAGCCCAATCTAAGGTTTGCTATTTGTATCTCAACTGCTGCTAGTCCAAACCCTTTTTCTGCTTCTAAACTTTCTCCTACTACTTCGACATGCTATCAGAGCAGGTCGACCCCCTTGGGTCGATCCTGTGGGTGGGCCCACCACCTAATGCTTCCGCTGCTGTTCTACTTGTCGCGCGCCTTGGTCGCGCGACGCCGACTTCCTGCCGTGCCGTGCGCTCGGGGCGCGCGGCGGTTTTCTGCCCGCCGTGCGCCCCGAGGCGCGCGGCGGTTTCCTACCGTAGAGGATGTCAAGATTACGAGACTGGGAATGGTTGAACTAACAGAGAAATCAGTACAAATAGCTAACCCTAGAATTGTGTACCCCATACAGGCTAACCCACTGTAGCCTAACAAACCAAACATATATAATGTTTGACACACCCCCATAGGCAAAGTGGGGGAGACCTAGGGGTCACAAGACCAGTCAAGGCAAAGTAAGGCAAACAAGCTCAGGGTGGATCTCGAGGATTCCACACAAATTCCGAGCACAAACAAGCGGTCACAAGACCAGTTCACATGCAGGTTTATAATAGAGCAAGACGTACAATGATCACAACCTAGCAAGAGTAAACATGCAGGTATATAAATATATAGTGATCACAGTACAGGCAAAGTCAAGAAGTGAGCAAGTGAGGGCCAGTAGGCACAAGACCTAACAGAGTACAGAAGCGCTGATGATCACAAGGCTGGAGTGCCTTGGTGAACACATCAGCAGTGTTGGCCTCAGTGGCCACGTAACGCAGACGAAGCTGACCGCGCTGCTGCAGCTCTCGAGCAAGGAAGTACCGCAGAGCAATGTGCTTCGTTCTGTGCTCCAGTCTGTGCTCCTCACACAAGGCAATGGCAGCCTAGGGCAATGGTGAGCTCAGTAGGGGAGCGAGCTAGAAAGGAGTCCCTGACTGTGCGCAGAGAGTCAGGGAGGCGGGTGACAATGTGGTAGAGGGTGAGCCAGAGCGGGGGGGGGTTGCTAGCAAGGAACTCGGCAGGCATAGCAGCGCGAAAACGGGCCTCACTAGTCTTGAGGTGGGTGATGAGATCAGCGACAGTGTGAAAGGAGGCCAGGTCGGGGAACAGGTAGGGCAGGGAGAGGCGGCCTAGGGTGGCAGACGCAGGCGAGGAGTAGCGAGCAACTACGGCTGTGTACAGTTCCTTAGCAGTCTTGCACTGGCCGAAGTGCTCGCGCTCATCTAGCGGCAGGGAGTTGCGGATAGCAAAGCGAGCGTGTGCGTCGCGGGTCTGCCACTGGGAGCGCAGTGTGCTAGCAGCAGAGGAGTCAGGGGCAGTAGCATGGCCTAGGGCGTGGTCGTACAGTGAAATGTCTTCCTTGGCAGTGAGCTGTAGGAAAAGGTGCAGATCATCGAGCCAGGTGTCAAATTTCACTGGGCGGCCCTCAGCGTCGAAGGCTAGAACAGGAGCAGTAGCCATGGTAGCAGGAGGAGGAAGAGTAAGTAATAAACGTGGCAGTGACAGTAGCAGCAGGGCAAGGCAAGGCCGGGGCAGTCGAGACAGCGGCAGCAGATGCTGCAGGTTCGGCTACGGCTGCTGCTGCTGGGTCGGCGGCGGCTGCTGCTGCAGAGGCAGCGGCGGCTGATTCTGCTGTAGCTGCGGCGGCCGCTGCTGTAGATTGCGGCGGCTGCTGCTGCCGTAGATGCGGCGGCGGCCGCTGCTGTAGATGATGCGGCAGCTGCTGCCGCTGTAGATGCAGCGGCGGCTGTTGCAGACGGCGCGGCGGCTGCTGCTGCTGGAGATGCAGCGGCGGCTGCTGCTGCTGTGGATGCAGCGGCGGCTGCTGCAGAAGATGCGGCGGCTGCTGCTGCTGTAGCTGCAGCGGCGGCTGTTGCAGTAGATGTGGCGGCTGCAGCTGCTGTAGATGCAGCGGCGGCCGCGGCAGGGGAGGCGGCGGCGGCTGCTGCAGCAGTTGCGACGGCCGCGACTGCAGTCTCTGCCGCGGCTGTTGCTGAAGGCCCGACCGCGGCGACGAAGGCGCGGGGGGGTCGAGCGCAGCACGGAGCAGCGCGACGGGCCGCGCTCGAAGAAAAAAGAGCCGCGCGCGCCGGCGGCTAGCTAGGCGCGCGCGAAAAACTGCCGCGCGCGGGCTGCTGGCTTGTCGCGCGCACGAAATAGGCCGCGCGCGGGCGGCTAGCAGATCGCGCGCGGTAAAAAAAAAGGATAGCGCACTAGGGGCGCAATAGGAGGCGCACTAGGGGCGCAATAGGAGGCGCACTAGGGGCGCTTGATAGGTATGTAGGTAGTTAGGTGGGCCCTTAAAAACGGTCCTAGGGAAGGACCTGCTCTGAAACCATGTCAAGATTACGAGACTGGAATGGTTGAACTAACAGAGAAATCAGTACAAATAGCTAACCCTAGAATTGTGTACCCCATACAGGCTAACCCACTGTAGCCTAACAAACCAAACATATATAATGTTTGACAGAGGACCCCCGCGCGCCCCCGCCCTGTCCGTTGCGGCGCCCTGGGGGACCCGCGCGCAGCCCCCGCTGCCCCGTCGGCGGTCGCGTCGCCCCGCCACCCCGTCGCGCCGCCCTGGGGAGCCGCGCGCGACCCCTCGCTGCCCCGTCGACGGTCGCGTCGCCCCGCGGGACCCGCGCGCGATCCCCGTCGACCCTCGCGTCGCCCCCCGGAGATCCGCGAGCCGCCCTGGAGCCGTGCGCGACCCACCCCCTGCCCCGTCGCGGCACGGCTCCCCACCCCCTGCCCCGTCGCGGCGCCCTGGGGGGCTGCGCGCGGCCCCTCGCTGCCCCATGGTGGCGCCCTGGGGGCCGCGCGCCTTCCCCCTCGCCGTCCCCCGCGCTCCTACCCCGTTCCGCCCGTTTTAGGGTTTGGGGGTGGGGAGTGTGGGGGTGGCGGGTGTGGGGGTGCCGGTTGTGTGCCCCGTCCCCTCCTTCTCCTCCTCCTCCGTCTCCCGCTGCTGCAGCTGCCGCTCAGGGGGGTGGGTGTGTGGGGAGCCGACGGAGTGGTACTAGGGGGGTGAAAGGGGAGTGGAGCTAGGGGCGAAGCAGGGGGTGTGTGTCGAGGGGTGTGGGACTGTTGGGGGAGGTTGAGCGGAGGCCGCCGTCGTGTCGTCTGCAGCGCCTGTATTCCGGGGTTCTGATAGCCACCGGTAGCTCAGAGAGCCGGTTGCACCTGTCGCCCGTGGGTCCGTTGCTCCTGTCGCTGCTGATCAGACGCAGAGCCTGTTACTCCTGTATTCCGGGGCCCTTGCTCCCGGTAGCCACTAGAGCTGCACCAGAGCCGTCTGTTGCCCGTGTGTCTGCAGCTTCAGTCGTCGCCTCCACTCTTCTCTCCTCTCGCCAGCCCTCCTCCTCCTCACTTGCCCTCTGTGACTGCCTCTAGCTTTGCTCATAAAATGTGAACTACTATTATGACTGCTTGTTGTGCTGATTACACCCCACTTTGGCTATGGGGGTGTGTCAGAATGTTGTATTTGTCTAGCCTGCAGTGGGGTACTCTATAGCGAGTACAGCCCAATCTAAGGTTTGCTATTTGTATCTCAACTGCTGCTAGTCCAAACCCTTTTTCTGCTTCTAAACTTTCTCCTACTACTTCGACACCTCTCTCCTGCTGACACGTGCCACTTCGTCGGTTGGCGTGAACCATGCACCAATCCCGCTCCAATCCCGTCCAATCCCGCTCCCTTTCCATGTTGCCACGTGCGCGCTCACCAACCTCCGCGCAACATTGTGGACAGGCTTCGCGACCGACTATTGGCCAGCCAATCCACCCCTTGGCACAGCCAGTCCGCACTTTGGCACAGCCAATCCACCCCTTCGCATGCATCGACGAACGGACGAGATTCGTCACGCATGCCAACTGTGGACGTGACGAATCTTGCCTTGCTCCCGGACGTTGCTAGCGCTGGGGGGGTATGTCAAGGACGAGGGTCTCATTATTTCATTTGTTGCTAGGTTGTCAAATTTTCTTCTCCCCTTCTGCTCCCACCATCTTAGCCTCCACCTTCTAGCGTGCCTCTTCACGGCCCTAGATCCCCCGTAGAGCGTTACGGACATTTGACGAGGTTTCCAGAGTTGCTTCGTCACGCGCATAGTAGTAGTAGCATCGCGCTCACGAGGTGTAGTGTATCGTTGCTTCCGCGTACGACGATGGGTGAACCCGTTGACACGTCGTCCGTGCAGGCCTTCAAGCCCTTCCGTTATGTGCCTTACCGCAATGTCCCGCTGGTGGTGACGGACCCCGATTATAACTCGCTGATGGACGAGAAAGTGGACTTCACTCCCGCTACCATGACGTTGGCGCTGCTGTGAGTGCTTGCGCACGTTGTTTGTAGGGTTTAGGGCATTCAGCAGACACCGTGCAGAGGGTCAACTGGCTCATGTGTTGCACGCAAAATGTTTGCAGGCACGCAGAGTCGACCGTAGAACCCAAGCTCAACACGCGACTAGTGCCCGCTGAGACCGTCAGCCGCAGGATCGAAGACGGGGAGAAGTTCTGCATGCCTCCGATGATTAATCTTTGCGGCGGCGTTGTCATCGCCGTGCCCATCGTAACAACGTGAGTTGATTCGGTTCTCAGTAGCGGTGTTTTTTTCATGTTCTGCAGATGGTTTCTCACCTGTTGCGCAGGGAGAGCGCTGCATAGACAGAACGGCCTATTCGTTTCCCTTATTGGTTTTTTGCCCTGCCACAGCACGGAGGAACTCCCGGGCAGGCACTGCAGCCTTCTCCTTGTGGCACACGCTAATGATCTTCGGGAACTCGCGAGCGAGAACCGCACAGTGGTTTTCCATGTGGACCCGAAAGCCAGACTGCGCTTCCACGATGTCGTTTTCAACACCGTGCACGAGTGAGTATGAAGTCGTGCTCTGATCGATTCGACGAACCGTGTGCAACGCATTGACACACTCGTTTGTAATTGTCTTACGCAGGTGGATCATGAGCACTGCTCGTGCGCAGGCACTATCGAGCCTCGGCGGGGCCGGTTTCGAACGGCCGAAAGAGTCCGACATCGACGAACGTTTGGAGAGGTGGAAGAACGTGGTTCGTCTGGTGAGTGTGAGATGTCGCATACGCTACTGTTCCTTCGAGCCTATTCTATGCACGACCGCTCACGAACGTATATCTTCCGCATGCGTGGGCTGCGCAGGATTGCGGTAACCTGAGAGACACCGCACCCGTCACTGGTCTACGCGTGGCGGAGGTGTATAAAACGTTCCTCGCCCACATGGAAGCCGTCGTTGCGCAACTCTCGTCGTACGAATTCAAGCTCATGGGGCGCAAGGAGCTGAAGCCGTTTCGTCAACAGATTGCGCAGTACATAGAGGGTATCGCGCTCGGGCAGAAGTTCGAAGGCGCCCTTTTGCAGCAAGGGACAGCAGCTTCTGTGGAGGGTGAGGAGGATGCTGTCGGAAGTTCCGTGCACGCTGATGAGGATCACGCTGGCGGGTCGTCGGTTGCCGCTCCGGCCGCGTTAGGAGTGACGTTGCACAAGGAAGGTGCGGGACGGGGCAATCCCAAGGGTGGCAACGGGAAGCCGAGGGAGGTGGCTGAGGGGGGCAAGGGAAAGCCGAAGGAGGCGTCCGAGGGGAGCAGGGGGAAGCAGAAGGAGGTGTCTGAGGGGGATGAGTGGAAGAAGGAGAAGCGGAAGTTGAAGGAAAAGCTGGATGAGGAGAGGAGCGAGAAGGAGCGTCTGCGGGAGGAGCTGCGGAGTAAGGATGCTGAGCTTGCGGAGGAAAAGGAGAAGGGTACCAAGTATGTCGGGCACGCAAAACAAGTACTTGATAAGGCGGCGGAGGTTTCTACAAACGCAGCGGCCACGCTGGATCGTTCCCGAGCGATGCAAGAGACCCTTGCCAAGGGCGTCGAGCAGCTGGTGGATGATCACGCCAAGGCAGCGGCGAAGACAGAGGAGACGGTGAAGTCTGTGGAAACGTCGCTTGCTGGTGTCGGAGACAAGGTCAAGACGGCCGCAGAAGGTGCCGTTGCGGGGCTTGGGCAGCAGGTCGACAAGGCTGTGAAGGCTGCTGTGACGTCTGCTGTCTTGGATGCAGCGAAAACCATGCAGGATGTTCTCGTCGAAGCCGTCAAGGGGGTGGTCAACAAGAGGATGGAGGAGATTAAAGCCTCCATTGTCGCGCAGGTCGACAAACGTGTCCGCGAGGTTGTAGCTGAGTCAACCAAGGGTTTGAAGGCGGACATCGTCTCCATGGTTCTGGACACGACGAGGCAGGCCTTTGGCGAAGCTGGCTTCGCAGCTCTTCCGAGCGTTTTTGGTGCCGCAACAGCTTTGGCACGCCAAGGTGGAGGAGGGGGTGCAGGAGGAAAGCATCCTCGTGGGGATGATGGGAGTGATACGCATGGCGGGATGGGAGGAGATACTGTCCACAGCGAAGTCGCGCGGCATAAACGATCGAAGGCTGGCTGGCTGGAGAAGGGTGTGGGGGACGTCCCATCGAAGCTGGCATCTCGTGCGGAGGGTGGTGTTGCACCTTTGCACATAGACCTCACCCTGGGCACACCGGTGAGGCGTGCAGACGGTCGGGCCAACATTGGGGCGTCCTTGCCGTCGCAAGGTTTAGTTGCGGTCGGGGCTAGCAGGGTTCATGGTGCGCAACCACCAAGCGGAGGTGGCATTGTGTTGGGCCTTCCGACGAAGACTCTCGCTGGCCGTGGAGGTGTGGAGCAGACTGGTGCGGAAGGTGCTGTTCAAGGGGCGGCGCCGCGGACCCAGGAGGTGCCCGGGGCCCCGCAAGGAGACGTTCACGATTTCCTGGCAGGGATGCGAGCCGCCATGGAAACGGGTCAGCAACAGCACCCGGTGGTTGACAAGGGACTTGCGGCAATCCGGGCGGGATTGCAAGAGCTCCAGCCCGCGGGCGATCACCATGCGCATGCGCAGCCTCAGCGCCCCGTAGCCTCCACACCTGCTGCGGACGACGACGTACCTGCAAGCGGGGCTATACCGCCCGAGGGTCAGCTCAGCTTCCCTCCGGACTTGTTCGGCATTGATCTTGGTGAGGCTGATACGTACGCACAGGAGTGGCAGGCAGGTCATGGCGACTCGGATGGCGAAGCGGAGGAGAACGTGGATAACGAGGAGAACGAGGAGAAGGAGGATACGGAAGGCCTCCATGTACTTGGTGCCGCGGAAGGAGAGGAGACTGACGGCAAGGCTGGTGGTGCTTTGGCGGAGGTTGAAGGGGGCAGGGGTCGAAAGGGCGCTGGCGTCCGCAAAGATAGAAACTCGCCTGGATGGACCGCCGACATTGTGGGTGGAGGCCACTCCCGCTACCTGGGCTACTCGTTGAAACGGGCGGACGTGGAGTTTACAGTGTCCGTAGCCATGATTGTGTGGGACGGATACGTGTCGAAGGTGCTGTGGGGCGCCTACAAGGAGGGTCCAAGATGTCAGAATCACTAGGCAAGAATGATGAACTAGCAGAAGTTTGGGTACAAATATGAAACCCTAGTTGGGGTTGTACCCCATATTGGCTACCCCACTACAGCCTACAAGCATAATACAGTTTAACACACCCCCATAGGCAAAGTGGGGGAGAACAAAGGGTCACAAGACCAGTCCAGCAAAGCAAAGCAAAGCCCAGGGTGGATCACAACGTCACCACACTCCGAGCACAAGTAAAGGCCACAAGGCCAGTTCACATGCAGTGCTAGATATAGTACAAGACAAGCAACACAGTGATCAAAACCTAGCAAGCAAGCAACAAGATATATATAAAGTACAGTACAAAGAATGTCAAGCAGTGAGCAAGTGAGGAAACGTGGACACAAGGCCTAAAGAAGTACAGTGCCGCTGATGATCACTAGGCGGGAGCGCCTTGGTGAAGATATCAGCAGTGTTGGCCTTCGAGTCCACGTACACAAGCCGAAGCTGACCGCGCTGCTGAAGCTCTCGAGCAAGAAAGTAGCGAAGAGCAATGTGCTTCGTCCTGTGCTCCAGTCTGTGCTCCTGACACAAGGCAAGAGCCGCCTTGTTGTCACCATACAGAACTGGAGGAGAACTAGGCCGCTCTCCCAAGTCAGTCAGCAGGTAGGTGAGCCAGCGTAACTCCTGTGCAGCCATGGCTGTGGCGTAGATCTCAGCCTCACAACTAGAGCCGAGAACAGAGGAAGAGCGGGTGGACCGCCACGAGACAGAACCTGAGCCAAGGCTGAAGGTGTAACCCTGTGACGACCGCTGCGTAGCCAGGTCGTCCACCCAAGAGGCGTCCGAGTGACCAGTGAGGACAACTCTGTCGCGTCCTCCAAGCACCAGCCCCATGCCTGATGTACTGCACAGGTAACGCAGTACCCTCTTAGCAGCCTCCCAGTGCTCTCGCCTGTGTCTCCCAGGCGCAACGTAACGAGCAAGGATGCTAAGAGGGTACGCGAGGTCAGGTCGCGTGCAAGTCATCAGGTACATGAGGCAGCCTACAAGCTCTGGGTACGGGCCACTCGGCTCTACGGACTCGTCCGAAGGTGGAGCTGAGAGCGAGTGGCTGGTAGCCAGAGGTGTGGCCTGTGGTGAGGAGAACTGGAAGCCGAAGCGCTGAAGGACCTGCTGCACCATGTGTGACTGAGTCAGGGTGATGGTGCGGCGAGCTCTGTCCCGGGTGATCTGCAAGCCAAGGTAGCTACGCAGTTCACCCAGGTCAGTGCAGGTGTGTCTCTTCTGCAGCTCCGACTTCACACGAGCGAGTGCCTCAGTGTCAGCAGTAGCAAAGACCAAGTCGTCGACGTACACGAGGATGTAGAACGGCGGCAGCGACGTGTCTGTGCGCAGAAACAGCGACGGGTCAGCAGTAGACGGCGCGAACCCAAGAGCCGCAAGAGTAGTCCTCAGTGTGTCGTGCCACTCACGTGGCGCCTGGCGGAGACCGTAGACTGGCCGGCGGAGACTCCACTGGGTACCAGGGGGAAACGACCCAGTAAAGCCAGGTGGGCGGCGCAGCCAGATCTCCTCGTGCAGGCTGCCCTGCAGGAACGCTGTGCTGAAGTCAAGAGAGTGAAGCTCGTAGTCACGCTGAGCAGCAACGTGCAGCAGAACCCGAAGAGTGGTCATCTTCGGGGTGGGGGAGAAGGTCTGGAAGAAGTCGACCCCCTGACGCTGACTGAAGCCTCTAGCAACGTAACGAGCCTTGAAGACAGGCGGAGAACCTGGCGGCCGCTTCACCCTGAAAATCCACATGCCATCGACGATGTTCGCCCCAGGAGGGGGAACCTCGTCGACGTAGGTGCCTGTGGACTTCCAGGATGCCATCTCTGCGTCCATGGCTGTCTGCCACTGAGAGGAGTAGGGACCCGAGATCGCCTCTGCGTAAGTGCGCGGAGTGGGGATGTCTACTGCATCCGGGTCTCCCTCAGGGGCAAGCAACCAGGCCACAAGATGAGGTACAGCAGCCGCAAGAGAGTCAAAGTCCTCCTGCCTGTCCTCAAGGACGTCCGTGCCAAGAGCACACTCACCCCCGACGGACGGAGGACAGACAGACCCAGACTCAGTAACAAGAGTGGCGGCGTAGTCTAGACGACAGGCAGCAGCAAAGTCGACAAGCTCAGCGACCAGGGCAGACGCAGCAGCAGACTCAAACGACGGGTCAGTGACAACAGTGGCGAGAAGACGCGTGACTGTAGGGTGCTCAGCGCGATACCGGTCAGACTCAGGGTCCGGAACGGCAGGCAAAGAGGACGCAGGAGGAGACGGTAGAGGGACACGCCGAGGAGCAGTAGAGGGACGCAGAGTCATGTAGTGAGTGCCTGGGACAGGAGGAGGACGCTCACGACGGACACGACTACCAGTGCGAGCAGGACGAACAGGCGACGCAGGACGAGACTCAGGCTCACGACGCTCTGTAAGACCTCCTCTGGGACCAGTATAAGGAGAGGGAGCAGGGAGAGGCGAGGCAGGCGGTAACTGTGACTGCGGCTGGACAGGCGGAGGACACTCTACGGAGGGAGGAGGACAAGGAGGAGGAGCCTGCCCAAGAACCTGCTGAAGGAGCGGTACGAAGTACGGTCGCGGCCGCGCAGCGTCTCCAGAAGCAGGCGGGACTCCAGCGGCCGGGTCCTCAGCACCAGTAGGAGCTCCAGCGTCCGGGTCCACAGCTCCAGCAGCAGCTCCACCGTCCGACTCCTCAGCACCAGCAGCAGCTCCACCAGGTGGGTCCGCAGCACCAGCAGCAGCGCCACCCCCAGAGTCGGCAGCTCCAACTCCGCTAGCACCGCCAGCGCCAGAGTCCCCAGCTCCAGTCACAGAGCTCCCAGAACAGCCAGTCCCGACAGCTCCAGTACCCCCAGTACGAGCACCCCCAGGACGAGCAGCTCCAGCACCCCAAACTCCAGCCGAGCCACTAGGACGGCGAAAGCGTCGGACGTACCAGTCGCGAAGCTGCTGCGGTGTGAGAGACTGCTCAGCACCCCGAACCGGAGCACCCCCAGACGCAGTAACCCGAGGCTCCGTAGGCTCAGTAGCAGCACCCCCAGGCTCAGTACCCGCAGGCTCAGCACCCCCAGTCGCAGCACCCCCAGGCTCAGCACCCCCAGGCGGCAAACTCTCAGGCACAGTACCCTCAGCTCCAGCACCCGTAGTCCCAGCACTCCCAGGCCCCGCACCCGCAGGCTCAGCACCCCCAGGCTCCGTACTCTCAGGCACCGTACCCTCAGCTCCAGCACCTGCCGCCCCAGTACCCCCAGGCCCAGCACCCCCAGGCTCAGCACCTCCAGGCTCAGCACTCCCAGCAGCACCACCCGCAGCAGCACCTGAGTCACCTGTGACCTCGACAGGCTCAGCGACGGGAGGAGGGTCTACCTGAGAGACACCTGAAGGAGCAGGACCCTGAGGGGGAAGGGGGTCTACCGGAGGGGGACCAGGAGCAAGGAAAAGCGGCGGGGGAGGGAGGGGGGCAGTGCGGTAGGGGAAGAGACGGTAAAAGGGGACGGACTCGTCAAAGGTGACATCCTGAGAGGCGAAGACCCGGCGCGAGGTGGGGTGGTAAAACTGCCAGCCAGGCGCGTCAGGGACAAAGCCAAGGAAGACACAGGGAAGCGTGCGGGAGGAGAGCTTGTCCGCGGACGTATCGCGGACAAGGGCACGAGCACCCCACACCCGGAAGCGCGACGCATCGCCAACCTCCCCCGTCCAACGCAGTGTGGGCGAGGTCTCCGGCAAGGAGACACGGGGCCAGAGGTTGAGCTGATGCGCGGCGTACCGGACAGCAAACGGCCACAGAAAATGGGGAGCCGCCGCGTGGACCAAGGAGGTACGAGCGACCTCCATGACCAGGCCAATGCGGCGCTCAGCAACCCCATTCTGCTATGGGGAGTCCGGAAGCGTGAAGGTCTGCTCGATGCCCTCCGCCTGACAGAAGGTCCTCAAGAGGTCGGAGGAGAACTCACCACCTCTGTCAGAGTGCAGACGCAGGACAGGAAGATCCGTCCGGAAACGGCGGCGGAGCTGGAGACGAACCGTGCGGATCCAAGGGATCAGAACAGCAGGGACCTCACCCTTGGTGCGCAAGGGGAAGACCGTGGTGTAACGCGAGTAGTCGTCGACAACCAGCAAAAAGTACCGCTCACCGCCCTGACCACGAACGCGGGCTGGGCCCCACACGTCCAGGTGGAGGGTCTCCAGAGGAGCCTCTGTCGGGGGGAACGAGGAGGAGTGAGGGGCGGCGCGCTGCCGCCCCTCGACGCAAGGAAGGCAAGGCGGCGCAGGCGAGGCAGGGAGGGGAGGGAGGGACCTGGGAAGACCGGACACAAGGAGGCGACGGTGCATGCCACGAAGGCGTGGCAGGGAGGGGTGACCCAGGCGGTGGTGCCAGAGAAGAGTCTGGTGCGACAGGGAACGACACTCACAGGCGTGGGCCACCAGACCTGACGCAGACACCTGACCGACAGCAGCTACCTGGGGAGACGCAGTGGTCAGTGTGTAGAGACTCGACCCCGGCCGACGGGTGAACGTAGCCAGGTGACGGCCGGTCCTGGAGCACGTGCAGATCGCCACACGCTGTCCGCCAGGGGTAAAGGTGTCAACCCACTGATCCTGGAGGACAGCGTTGCTCACCAGGTTCGTCGAGAACGAGGGGAGGTGGAAACCCGACAACGAGCCAGACGGAACCGCCGGACAAGGGAGGACAGTGGTGGACTGGGTGTCAGAATCCCAGCCACTAACCACTGGGATAAAAGGGCTTGTTTATATAGCGGGTGAGTGCGCCCATAACCCCCCAGACCGACGTGCCTGTAACCCTTCCCTAGGATCATCGGGGATCCCCAGTGGACCTCTGACACCCCCCTGCACTGGGATGCCCGAAGTGCACACACCGGGAATCGAACCCGAGACCTTCGCTCTGATACCATGTCAGAATCCCAGCCACTAACCACTGGGATAAAAGGGCTTGTTTATATAGCGGGTGAGTGCGCCCATAACCC